CCCCTCTTTTATATACCCGCCTACCCTATATCTAGTAAGAACTAGAACATTCGCCAAAGTACAGGATAATCTAGATAGTAGAGAGCGTGAGAATCACATGATCTCAATGACGCAACAATACCGTGTATTTCTTTATTTCGGTAGTATTAGGTCGTCAAGAAATTAATGTCGCGTTTTGGAACACTCTCATTACCCCCCCCCCCCCCAAAAGTACATCACTTATAATAGTTAAACGAACCACCTAAACGTCACGTCAGTGTAGCCTATATAATGTGTAAATTTTAGTATAATCTCTTATAGTGATGGCGCACGACGAAACACACATTCGGCATTTTAAATACAAGAAGGGAAACAACGCCTCTGTAACTACAAATAATATCAAAGAAGTTTATGTACATGTTTTGAACGTTCATAAGTGTCAACGATGGTTCAGCAAATTTCGTTCAGATGATTTCATGCTTAAAAACTGTGATGGCAGGGGCTGACATGTTGGAATTGATACTCTGGAGACTCTTTTTGAATCTAACCCAAGGCAATAAACTCGTAAAATGGCTCTAAAATTGTATGTCTCTCATGAAACGATACTAAAACATCTAAGGAATATGGGAAAACTCCATAAAGAATGTGTTTGGGTGCCTCATGAACTCTCCAATGATCATCGTTTCCAACGTGTGAACGTTGCTTCGTCTCTTCTGGCGCGTGAACAATTTTTGGACATAATTGTCACCGGTGATGAAAAATGGATTATCTATGCGAATATTAAACGCTAAAAACAATAGCTCAGTTCTAGACAAAAACCATTTCCGATCCCAAAACCTGGACTCCATCCGCAGAAGGTGATGCTGTGCATTTGGTGGGACATCAAATGAGTAATTCATTTCAAACTCCTCAATCCATGCAAAGATCTATAGTCAGCAACTGGAACGTTTAAATCAAGCCATTCACTCGTCAATTAGAAAGGTGTTCTTCTTCTCCACAACAATGCACGTCCACATGTGGCATGTTTGACGCAACACAAGATTATGGAGTTGGGTTTGGAAATTCTCTCCATATTGTCTGGATATGGCACCATCAGATTATCAACTTTTTCGTTCGCTGCAACGCCATCTTAATGGGAAAACGTATGCAAATGTTAAAGGGGGCATCGACATGTTTTTTACTTCAAATAAGAAGACGCTTGTTGAGTCCAACTCAAGGCAACACACTCGTGAAATGGCTCTGAAATTGCATGTCTCTCACGAAACAATTTGTAAACATTTAAGGAATATGGGAAAACTCCTTAAAGAAGGTTTTTGGGTGCCTCACGAACTCTCTGATGATAATCGTTTCCAACGTGTGAATGTTGCTTCGTCTCTTCTAGTGCATAATGCGCGTGTACCATTTTTGGACAGAATTGTCACAAGTGATGAAAAATGGATTCTCTATGCGAATATTAAACGCCAAAAACAATGGCTCAGTCCTAGACAAAAACCGCTTCCGACCCCAAAACTTGGACTCCATCCACAGAAAGTGATGTTTTGTATTTGGTGGGACATCAAAGGAGTAATTCATTTCGATCTCCTCAATCCACAGCGAACTGTCAATGCAGAGATCAAAAGTCGGCAATTGGAACGTTTAAATCAAGCTTTTCGCTCGTCTATCGGAAATGTGTTTTTATTCTCCACGACAATGCACGTCCACATGTGGCATGTTTGACGCAACTCAAGATTATGGAGTTGGGTTAGGATGTTCTCCTCCCACCCACCATATTCTCCAGATATGGCACCATCAGATTACCATCTTTTTTGCTCGCTGCAACACCACCTTAATGGGAAAACGTATGCAAATGTGGAAAGTGTTAAAAAGGACATCGACATATTTTTTTTTTTGCTTCAAAGCCAAGTGATTTCTTTAATTAGGGCATTAACAACCTGATTGTAAGATGGAAAAGCATCACCGATAAGAATGGAGACTATTTAATTTAATAACTGTTTTGTTTTGATATATAAGATGTTCGTGTTTTTTCATTTAAAAAAAAGCGACATTAATTTCTTGACGATCTAATATTTCATCACACTCATTAAACATAACCCTTTATTTTCCTGAAGAAGAATAGTGAACTATTCGAAAGCGCTCGACTTTTGGGTCTCTTTGAAAAATCATTATAACTTTCTATATGATCCTGTATGCTAACTTAATCAGAATAACTATTTTATTTAATAAATGTTTTCGGGTTTTTTCATCTAAAAAAGCAACATTAATTTCTTGACGACCTAATATTAATATTTTCTATCTCAAAGGTTTTTTTTTGCCACCCACTAAAAAAATCATAGAAATACCATTGCACTTGAAGGAACTAAAGTATACACAAAAAATAAATAGTAATATGTGTACCTTATATAAAACGTTTTAAAATTTTCATAATTTTATGATAGGTTTTTATGTAAGTTAATTGTGTTTTAATATCATGGATTGTATGCAGACCAGTTATTCAGTTACTTTAAGTCCTGGTTAGCTGAATTAGTGGATTGGCATTAACCTAAAACTTTGAAGTCTTCTTCTTCTTCCTATTACTGTTTGCTCACTTACCTTAAGAGTATTTTCAAATTCAAGTTGATAATGTGTTGAACAAATTACCATGTCGTTACAATCCATGTTGCCAGTCTGGTCATGCTATATCTGACGACTGTGCATTTTGACAATAACCCCGCAGCTTCCATTGCAAAAGGCTCAATCTTAATGCTGCCATGTTGTTAGCTCATCGCTCCTCCATGCGGGATTTCCATAATCCACCGAGTTTATAAAGATGACGGTTTTCGAACGCACATTTCAACAGTCTAATCTCAGAAATTCAAAGCCACTGAATTCGGCGACTTGAATAGAATATCTACACGTGGAATAGCATGAATACCCGTTTCATTCTCCAACTTCTTGAGGTATGTGACGGTTTAACGGATATGTCATGGAAGCAAATTGTGTTGCTTTTCTATACAGATATCCTTCTTAATTACGTCATGTTCTGCTGCCTGAGGCAAATGGACGACTTTTGCTACACATATTTGTGTTTAGGAATTTTCACCTGTTATAAAACGCCGCGCTTTGTTTACCATGCTTGGGGTACGACTTGTTAAAAGTCTTTTTCTAAGTGGTCCTAGTACCTTTGTTTTACAATGCCATTAAGTACAAGGGATATCACCGTCTTGGAAATTCTTGATTTCCGATCTGAACATATCCTTACGATTTGAGCTTATGAATATTTTGCGTCCAAAAGGGGGCCCGGCATGGCCAGGTGGTTAGGGCACTCGACTCGCAAGCTGAGGGTCGCGGGTTCAAATCTCCGTCCCACCAAACATGCTCGCCCCTTTCAGTCGTGGAGGCGTTATAATGTGACGGTTAATCCCATTATTCGTTGGTAAAAGAGTAGCCCAAGAGTTGGCGGTGGGTGGTGATGACTAGCTGCCTTCCCTATAGTCTTATACTGCTAAATTAGAGACGGCTAGCGCAGATAGCCCTCGGATATAAAGGACGTTGTCAAGTTACATATTTTTATACTTTAAAAGAAATTGTTGATATAAAAAAAACAAGAGGATATCAAGGTAAGGTTTCTGACCCCGAGGATATCAAGGTAGGGTGTCTGACCCCGTGACTGTAAATGTTAGTGAAGTTGACCATGTTCCTTAATTTTACTCTACGATTATTACTTACCGGTATTCCACAAATAAGTCCATAAATGGCGCCACTGTGTTTGGTCCCAAAGGCCTGTGACGTCACAGCAGGGAACGTAGACCAGAGTCCGGATGAAAGGAAATATTGTAAGAGAACCCATGTGGCCCACATCGGTTTTCCTCCGTACTGAGTAGCAGG